TGCCCTCCTATTTTCCCATAATTGATTGCTCCAAGGAGTGTATCTAGCTGATGTAAATGTTCACCTCACATGCCTGTCTGTTGTTTGGCTGGAAGCCACAGGAGTGAGTTCAGTTTCAGATGTGAAGGGTAACTAGGGGTCACAGTCTGTGTCAGTGGTCTCGTTAGCCTCTATCAGACCAGCAAATCTGGTCTCTCTCTCTCTTTTTTTAAATGATTTTGAGTTTTGTTCTACATTCTTCTCCTACTCTATTCAGGTTCTCCTGCGCCAATCCCTCCTCTGAGTGGTTGACAGTGGTAGCCGGACACCATCTAGTTCTGGTCTCATGGTCATATAGGCTGAGTATTGCATTTTCTCCAAGTCCCTTGGACTAATTGTTTCCATGCATCTTTGGTTTTCTTCATTATTCTTTGCTCTGGATGAGGAGAGACCCATCCTTGCATCTAGATGGCCACTTGCAAGCTTTTAAGACGACAGTTGCTACTCACCAAAGAAGAATGTAGAGCAGTGTTTTTGTTATGGCATGTTATGCCAATTGAGCTTGATGTCCCTGCGACCATAGTCCTGAGCCCACAGGTCCAACTTCTTGCTCCCTCAGGTTAGCTGGCTGTGTCCAAGAAGCCACCACAAACTTGCCCCTTGTCAGCTGTACTATACACATTCTTACAGCATATACAAATACGCATGTAGAAACATTGTCTGCTAACCCTGCGTGGTCCTGGGCACACTCCCTCCGGCCTAGACATACCTGAGAGGACTTTGCATTCTTTATGTGAGGAGTAATCCCTACTGAAGTCTGTATCAAATCTTTGATCTTCATCAGTAAGAGCTTCAAGACCTTTTTGTTTTCAGCCAGCAAGGTTGTGTCACCTGCACATTGCAGGTTGTTAATGAGTCTTCCTCCAATCCTGATGCTGTGTTCTTCATATAGTCCAGCTTCTTGAATTAGTTGCTCAGTATACAGATTGAATAAGTGTGGTGAAAGATACAACCCTGGTGCACACTTTTCTTGATTTTAAGCCATCAGTATCCTCTTATTCTGTTAGAACAACTGCCTCTTGGTCTATGTAGAGGTTCTGCATGAGCACAATTAAGTGTCCTGGAATTCCCTTACTTTGCAATGTTATCCATAATTTGTCATGATCTATACAGTTGAATGACTTTGCAAAGTCAATAAAACACAGGTAAACATCTCTTTATAGGGTCACTATGAGTAAAAATTGACTTGATGAGAGTGAGTTTTATATTTTTGGAGTTTTTAACATCATTCGGTATTCTCTGCTTTCAGCCAGGATCTATCTAACATAATCAATATGGATATCCTCCATATCCCTCACATCACATCCTCTTCTGAGTCTGGCTTGAACTTCTGGCAGTTCCCTGTCAACATACTGCTGCAACTGCTTTTGAATTATCTTCAGCAAGATTTTAATTGTGTGTAGTAGTAATAATATTGTTTGATAATTTACGCATTCTGTTGAATCACCTTTCTCTGGAATGAGCACAAATATGGATTTCTTCCAGTTGGTTGGCCAAGTAGCTTCTTCCAAATTACCCAGCATAGACGAGTGTGTACTTCTAACATTGCATCTGTTTGTTGAAACATCTCAAGTGATAGTCCATCAATTCCTGGAGCCATTTTTTGTTTTGTTTTGTTTTTTTGGCCAATTTTTTCAGTGCAGCTTGGACTTGTTCCTTCAATAGCCATTGGTTCTTGATCATATGCTACCCTGTAAAATGGTTGAACATTGACCAATTCACTCAGTGCCTTCCATCTTCCTTTGATGGTTCCTGCATTGTTCAATATTTTGTCCATAGAATCCTTCAATGTTAGAACTCAACGCTTGAACTTTTCTTTAGTTCTTTCCGCTTGAGACATGACAAGTATGTTCTTCCCTTTTGTTTTTCTCACTGCTGATCTTTGCAAATTTCATTATAATACTATATTTGTCTTCTTCAGCTGCCTTTCAGCTGTTTTACTTCATCATTTCTTCCATTTGTTTTAGCTACTCTGTGTATAAGGGGGAAGTTTCTGACATCCATTTTGGTCTTTTCTTTCTTCCCTGTCTTTTTGATGACATTTTGCTTTCTTTAAATGTATGATATCCTTGATGTCATCCCACAAATCATCTGGTCTTCAATCAGTGCTCAATATGTCTAATCTATTCTTCAGATGGTCTCTAAATTCAGATGGGATATATTCAAGGTTTTACTTTGGCTCTCATGGACTTGTTTTAATTTTCTTCAGCTTGAACTTGAATTTTCAGATAAGCAATTGATGGGCTGTTCCACAATCAGCCCCTGGCTTTGTCCTGACTGATGATATTAAGCTTCTCCATATGCCTCTTTCCATAGATGTAGTTGATGTGATTACTGTGTATTCCATCTGGTGAGGTCCCCATGTATAGTTGCCATGTACAGTGTTGAGAAAAGGTATTTGCAATGAATAAGTCTTGCAAAATTCTATCATGTGATCTCCAGCATCATTTTTATTACCAAGGCCATATTTTCCAACTACTGATCTTTTTTCTTTGCTTCCAACTTTTGCATGCCAATCACCAGTAATTATCAGTGTATCTTGATTGCTTGTTTGGTCAATTTCAGACTGCAGAAGTTGGTAAAAATCTTCAATTTCTTCATCTTTGGCATTAGTGGTTGGTGTATAAGGATGAATAATGGTTATATTAAATGGTCTTCCTTATAGGGGTATGGATATTATCCTATCACTGATGGGGTAGTACTTAAAGAGAAATCTTGAAATGTTCTTCTTGGTGATGAATGCAGTGCTGTTCCTCTTCATTTTTTCACTCCTGGCATAGTAGACTATATGATGATCTGATGCAAAATGGCCTGTATCGGTCCAGTGGTGACCCTGCTGGTATTTGAAATACTGGTGGCATAGCTTCTAGCATCACAGCAACACAGAAGCTACCACATCATGACAAGCTTACAGATGAGTGGTATCTTCTTTGACCACATGGAATTAAATTAGACATCAATAACCACGAGATATCTAGATTGTTGTTATGTGTCATTAAGTTTATTCCTACTCATAGTAACCTTATAGAACAGTATAGAACTGCCCCCATAGGATTTCCTAGGCCAAAATCTTTGAGTTCAAACTGCCAACTTTTCAGTTAGTAGCTGTGTGTTTAACCATTGTACCACCAGGGCTCTGATATTTAGGTAAATCCTAAATTTTTTGAGATTAAACAATCCTCCTAAATAATCTATAGGTCAAGGAAGAAATCAGAAGGGGAATTAGAAAATATTTTTGAATCCTGATTTCGATGTTTAAAATATGTGCGATCTTGTGCAACTATGAAGATTGGTGAGCCACAGTTTCTTCATCAATAATATGGTGATATTATATCATTACTATATAAGGTTGTCATAAAGATTAGAGCAAAATAATACGTGTAAAGCACTTAGCACAACTCCTGGCACAATAATTATACTCAATTAAATTCATTAATGAACTTAATTACTTTAATTCTGTTGCCAATAACTTGAGCCATTGCTGAGGGCATGTGGGTACCAATAGTGTCTTCCTTCACTTCCACCCTTCTGCCTTTGAAAGCTGCCCAAAGAGAACAAGTGATATCAATCCACTCTTTAAATCTTTTTGTTGATTAATTCAATTTTGCCACTATATCTCATTTAATTTTCATCTCCTTCATTGGGAGCTTTGGTAGCATAGTGCTGAAGGCACTTGACTGCTAACCAGAAGACTGGTGGTGCAAACTCACCAGCCACTCCTCGGAAGGAAGGTTGGGCAATCTACTTCTGTAGTGATACTGCCTCGGAAACCCAAGAAGGGGTCGCTATGATGGATTTGGCAGGGAGTTTGGTTTTGGTTTGGTTTTTGGATTGCACATAAAATTTCCTTTCAAGGTCAGAAGTTTCGACTTGACAGCACAACAACAACTACAATATCTATCACTTAAATACGTATCTTGAGTTAAAGATTATGCACCCTTCAGAACCCTTTGTTTGGGTTTCCATCTTCCTTAGTGTGATCATTGAAGAGATGCAAGAAGCCTGTCTCCTAAAACTTGTCATTAGAGCATTAGGATCCATCACATTGGCCTCCCAGTTCCAAGATATCAAAAACTGATTGGAAAATGAAGAGCCATCATCCTCTTCTGTTTTTCTTCCTAACCCATTGTGCAAATACAGCAATGATTTAATCTGTTTCTTAATAATGCACCTCCTTTTAAAAGCATGTAATAATAACCACGTCACAGGAATACTGATGCATGATTCATTATTGTTTGTCAGAAGCTCCAGGATCTTCAGCTGGAAGAGAAACTGGACACTGATAACAGTATTATGTTGGAGAACTCTGCATCTTGCTTCACTGAATGGAGCTAGTGTCTATATGTAATCAAGTTAACTACACTGCTAGAGGCGTACGCTATAATTAATGAAACCCATGCAGACTGAATGAAGTGATCAGTCTATATTTTAAGATTTAATAATTAAGTCTTCAGAGCTTCAGTGGTTTTTTGTTTTTTAAGTAGTTTCCTTTTTCAGATGAGTATTGACATCTTGGCTGTCAATCTTGCTTTGTTATGTCAATTAGCTTTGTGTCAAGTCATCCCATGTCAAGCAGACTTCCTTATAGACTCAAAAAGTGCTCAGTTTGTACACATTTTTATTTTAAAAAACTGAACTAAGGCCTATCTTAACAAAAATAAACATGATGTAAAGATAAGGGGAATGGAATACATTTTATTGAGGGCCTGCTCTGTATCCGGGCCTGTGTGGGCACTCATGTGACCTCCTTTAATTTTTCCTCAACCATGCAGGAAAAATCCTCATTTTATGGTTGAGGAAATGGGCTCAGGAAGGTTAAGTAATTAATTGAAGGTCACAAGTAAGCAAGTGGCAGGACTAGTATTTGAACGCAAGCCTTTCTGGTGCTCAAACTTACACTCTTTCCAGGAGTGGCAGAGGCCGCATGTAAGAGGGTGTATTATTTGCGACGTGACACCTACCTTCAGAGTCTTGTTGTGTCTCTGCAGCTCCCGGCACAGACTCTCCAGTTTGCTGCGGGCGAGGATGGCTCTGCTGTGTTCACTCTGTAACTGGTCCTTTTCCTTTTGGACTTGGACCTGTTTCTTCTGTAGGAGTCTTAACTTCTTTTGCTCAGTGCGATGTTCCTCCAGCTAGACATGGGGGTGTGCACATGTAAGAAAGTGGCAGAGATCTCGTTTGAGTTGATGGAAAGGAGCAGACAAGGAAGGACCTAAAGAGGACTTTACATTGTCTGGAAACATTATTTGCTATTATCATTGTTCCCTGAAAGGAAATGAACTTCCAAAAAGTCACCTTTGTGGCACTTACAGTTTTTAGAACATAACCTATAGGTATTTCTTCTATTGTTATAATTATGATGATCATCATTATTGTCTTTTTATACTTTGATCTTCCTTTTGGTGGTCTGGAGATAGTTTTATTTTTCTTCATGCTATCTAATGATGCCAGTTGATATAAAAAGGCATTTCTCGGAATCTATAAATGCCAGGATTCATGAGAATGCCTTGACAGTGAGGAAATAGTCAAGAGTTTGACTGCTTGGGTTATGTTAGTTCCCATAATTCTTTCTCAAAATAAACTTCTGGCAACTCATTTTAAAGACCAGAAAAAAGAGGCTTCTTGGTAAGTACATGATGAAGTCCTCTTCCTTGTAATTTTGGGCTGTGGGATGGATTGAGTCAAAAGAGGAAGAAGAGAAAGTACACCTTGACTAACTAAGCATGGATGGTTTTTCACCATCCAACCCAATGGTGTGAGTGGTAAATATCTGCAACATGCCCTGCTCTGCACCCAACCCCACTCCTCCATGCTTATGGAAAACCAACTAGTACACTTGTTTCTGCCCAGCCCAGGTGCAGGCCTCAGAATTCCTCTCACACTTGTCCAGCAGCCACAACTAAGCCATGTAAGATGAAACCTAGCTACCACGTACTTTCCACCTCAGGATGCTAAAGTTCTGGGATAGGGTTGCTTGCTAAAGTACTAGACACCTAGCTATATTTGAATTTCAGATTCATAACGAATATTTTTCTTTGGAAAGTCCCTGGGTAGTGCAAATGTTTTGCACTGTGTTACCAATCCAGTTGGTGGTTCAAATCTACCCAGTGGCTCCTTGAAAGAAAAGCCTGGCAATATGCTTCTTTAAAGATTACAGCCAAGAAAATGGTATGAAATAGTTCTACTCTGTAACACATGGGTTGCCCTGAGTTAGAACTGACCTGATGTCAGTGGGTTCTGTTTTTTTTTTAAAAAATTCTTTAGTAAGTATATTCAACACATCGCACTGAATATACTATTCTAAAAAAAAATGTTTATCTATAATGCAAACATAACTTGGTGTACTGTATTTTCATTTACGAAGTTTGGCAAACTTACTATGGGGTTCTAGTCATGGTGGGGGAAGTATAGGGATCAACTGCCAGGAGCCAGCAGAGACTAACGGATCCTATGAGTATCCATTTTAGACTGAAATTCAATGTGATTTGCAGCCCTTTGTTCAGAGCCATTTCCTCTGCTGGACTCAGTTCTCTTAGAATCTGAATGGTGCATAAGCCAGGTAAGCACTGGTCCAATAATGACCAAAAGGAAGGGCCCTGGGGAGCCCCTGGTTGCTTCTGGACCCCAGGTGTTCCTGGTGTCTCCCAGAGCCTTAGGAAAATGGATACACATGCCATCTGAGCCCTGATGTGTGTCTCAGTTTCTGCATCTTGAAAACACATTTGTTCCTGTTGAATTAGATAAATAAGAATGTCACACTTCCTTCAGTTCATATCTTGTCCTACTCCTTTCTTCCTTCCCTCCTCCCACACTGAGATGACCATTATAAACCCTTGGCAGATCAAACCAGGGATATTGACACATGATACAGTATCTTCATTGTTGTTGTTGTTGTTATGTGCCGTCGAGTCAAACCTGACTCATAGCGACCCCTCCTTGGGTTTCCGAGGCAGTATCACTACGGAAGTAGGATTGCCCAACCTTCCTTCCGAGGAGT